TGTCAGGAGGAATGGGCCAGAACTCATCAGACTGTTGTGAGAAGCTTGTGGAAGGAAACCCAGAACGTTTGACCCAAGTCATAGAGTTTAAAGGCAACGCTAGCGGATACTGAGGAGATGGATGGAAACTTCAGACTCTGAAGAAAGTAGTAAAAGTTCTCTCTCTCATTATTCTGGCCTTTAGCAAATAGAAATTATTTTCTAACTGACCTACAGCAGGAAACGTTTAGTCTGATTTAATGTCAGACAGGTGATGTGTCTGTTCATACAGTGGATGTAAACTTGTGGTTTCAGCTGTATCTGTGGCTGTGTTGTGTGTTCAGCGGCTTTTCTCTTCAGCGAGCCAATAACTGATCTGTTTTCTGCTTCTGTGTGTTTCCAGGCTGAAGAAGGAAACATCGAATATAAGGTAGCTCACTCTTCATCTCCTTCTCATTTAGTGTAACGTAAGCTTCAGTGTCATGCTGATGTTGTTGTTCCAGAGAGGACGCTTCAGTGGGTGACTGAGTTTTAGGGTTAAAGTCTGACTTCGATGTTAAAGCTGAGTGTGAACTCAAAAAACCTGCGATGGCATTAAAATGTCAAAAACAGTCACTGTGAGATGCAGACAAACAGTTTTAGCAGTCACGGGGCTATTTGAGAGAGAGGGAAGGATTCGGAGGGAAAGAACGCAAAATCAAGAAACGATTGAAGAAAGAAAATTAACTCCTTAACAATCATTCCAGTCATCTTGAAGGAAAGCCGTCCATCGTGAGGATTTGATGGCACACACAGTAGCAGAGTCGTCCTTTTAGACTGTTGAGATGAAACAAGACAGTCAAAGATTACACGCTTGGCTTTTTCACGACTGTTGATTAATTTTGAAAATAATCAGCTGGCTAATCTAAAATGAAATCAGTTGTTAGTTGCACCCTCACTGGATGGAACCAACAACTGTTCACTTAGTGGACGACCACTGCCAGCCAACATCATGGCTCCGAGGCTTCTTTTTACCCAAGCTTATGGAAGAACTAATGTATCTGATTACAGTTATTGACGTTTGATATTTGCCTCATAAATCTGGTGTTGCTGGTGCTCTATGGTTCAGGATGTCCCTACAACGCAGCAACTGTCTTGTTTGATCATTTTAAGACGTTCCACTGTGGAACTCCTCTTTGTATATTCCAGTGTCGGCCTTTATTTTCCTGCTTTGCCGTCATGCTTCATCTTTGTCTGCTTTAGTTGAAGCTGGTCAACCCCACTCAGTATCGCTTCGAGCATCTCGCCACGCAGCTGAAGTGGCGCCTGCAGGAGGGTCGTGGCGAGGCCGTCTACCAGATCGGAGTGGAAGACAACGGCCTGCTGGTCGGCCTGACGGAGGCCGACATGAAGGCCTCCCTCAAGACCCTGAAGAGGATGGCAGAGAAGTAGGTCACAGATTTTCAGTTTGTCTAATGAGGATTGAAAGGTTTCTACGATCATAAAGGAACATTATTTCAGTGATTTTCAGAAAGGAAAGACCTGTAAGTAAAAGGGAGAATAATAATTGTCGAACGGAGTCGTACCATTTTAGTCCATTTATTTGAGTCAGTCTCTGAAAGGTGCTGCATCTTCTGTCTGCTGTTTTACAATGAAGATGAAGTTAACAAACAGTAATTGTAGAAATGATCAGATGAGGGCTGCACGGTGGCTCAGCTGTTAGCCCCGTCGCCTCACAGCTGGAAGATCTCCAGTTCGCGTCCCGGTGAGGACACCCGGGCGTGGAGTCTCCATGTTGTTAGGAAGATTCTTCAGTGGAGTCCAAACCAGCTCACAGAGTCGTCTCTCAAGTCCAAACAAAGTTTTACTTGCAGCAAGGACCAACATGTGCAGCACAGAGTCTGACTTAAGACATGAAGCGTTGGTTCTTACACACAGACAGTGATGAGAAAACAGAAAACAACTTCCTGCAAAAGAGTGAGAATAGGCACAGTTCTCGTGGTGTTTTGACTTCCTGCTGAGGACAGCTTGTCCTCATCGCTCACTCACAGGGTTCAATAGAGGTGATGGACATTTACTTGGGTTCTGCAGCAGGACAACGATCCAGAACGCACCAGCAAGTCCACTTCTGAATGATTTAAAAAAAGACAAACTGAAGGTTTTGGATCGGCCGAGTCAAAGTCCAGACTTGAATCTGATTGAAACGCTGCGGCATGACCTTAAAAAGGCTGTTCATGCTGGAAAACCCTCCAGTGCTGCTGAGCTAAAACAGTTCTGCAAAGAAGAGTGGGCCGACATATCTCCACAGAGATGTGAAGGACTCATCGCCAGTTCTAGGTTAAATCAATCTTGCAGTACCTTGTGTGAGCAAAAATGGTAAATAAACACTCTGCTGTGATCTTGAACTGATAAATCATCTCCAGAATCGGTGCTTTAATTTTGAAAGAGGTCAAGGTCAGTACTTAAAGAATTAAATGACTTAAAAATATGAGCACATTGTTGTGACCGGGTTTTGTTTCCTGTTTCTGTCTCCAGGGTCGGTGCAGACATCACTCTCCTCCGAGAGCGAGAGGTGGACTACGACTCGGATAGAAACACTCGCAAAATCGCAGAAGTTCTTGTTCGAAAAGTTCCTGATGATCAGCAGGTGAGGGTCCGGCCTCGAGGTTCTTTTTTTTTGCTGTGTATGTGCTTGTACAGGCGTTTTTAAACTGATAGTTCTTCACTGTGCTCTGAATTCAGTGAGTTAGTTGTTAAGCTTGGTTTTTCTCTCAGTCTGGATTCTGTACTCAAATATAACATGAGTCCACTTCAACCAGACTGAACAACTAAGCTTTGAAAATGCCCCAAGACATCAGAAATGACTACAACGTGATGAGCCTTAGCTCAGCTTAATCTGAAGTATAGACAACATCAGGGTTTTTTTAAAAACAATTATGGAACAATGGAGTGTTTTAGAAGTCGTGGTGATGTGATCTCTTCGCTCCATGGTGCTGTTCTGGACTGCAACAGTTCCTGGACCTGCGGGTGGCAGTGCTGGGTAACGTGGACTCTGGGAAGTCGACCTTGCTCGGCGTCTTGACGCAGGGCGAGCTGGACAACGGGCGAGGCCGAGCGCGGCTCAACCTCTTCAGACATCTGCACGAGATCCAAACCGGACGCACCTCCAGCATCAGCTTTGAGATCCTGGGTTTCAACAGCAAAGGAGAGGTGATGGCCCCGACACTTCCTACACAGCAGATTCAGTTCTGTTACTTTACTGCCGCGTGGAGTTCAGAGAACATTTCACACATTAGATTAAGTTAAATTATCATACATGTAGCCCCTTTATGCTGCTCTCAAAAAAGACAAATATATAAAGAATAAACAACAAAGTTATGAAAATGAAGCTGTTCTCCTGGTGAAGTGCGGAGGATACGTTCAGGAATGTGCAGCCTGAGGAAGTAAACAGCTTCAGAGTCTGCTGGTACTGCAGTAGATGCCTTCACTCGCCGGTCCGGTGTTGATTTCATTCTATTGTTTGCATTGCTCACTCGTGACAATTATCTTAGTACAATTGTTCTGACCACAGAGAACAGATCAGAGCTCCCCTACAAATGAATGTCCACATAACGCCGTCTACAGTAGCTGTACAGGAGGCTGACTGATCTGTCTATTGATCAACAATGTCCTAGAAGGTCTTAAGTACCACGAGACTAAAACGTTTAAATATACACAAGTGGTATCAAAAATCCAAAAGGTTTTGATTTTATTGATCTCACACTGAATCCATGTGTTGTTGTTTCTCTTTCTACCTCCTGCAGGTTGTGAACTACAGCGAGTCCCGGACGGCTGAGGAGATCTGTGAGAGTTCCTCCAAAATGATAACCTTCATCGACCTCGCAGGACACCACAAGTACCTAAAGACCACCATCTTTGGCCTCACCAGTTACTGCCCTGACTTTGCGATGCTGGTGGTGAGCGCCAACACCGGCATTGGTGAGCTGCAGCTACACTTTATACCTACAGGAAGAAACGATAACAATTGAATTGAACAATGTGGATTCTGGCTACAAGACATAGTGGGTGATAGGTGCAGCCATGGACCACAAACATCAATAATCCCATTTAGACCTGTAACTAACAATTATTTTAGTACCAGCTCATTTTCCTATAGTGTATTTGTTAAACTAAAAAGTCTAAAATACCATCTTATTTATGATCAAATGACTAAAGCTGTGATTGCTAGTTGATCATATCAGTTCTTTAGCACACTTAAACTTTTGCATACCTGTTCCTTTTCACTCTTTCTTGGTATATTAGTGACTCAGGACTATTTAACACTCTGTATAATTTCATATTTTCTCATTTTTTAAGCACCCAGCAGCCTGCTATCCATAACTGTTTGTTGTGAACACGTCCTGGTGTCAAAATAGTAAAATAAATTTCAGTAACACGACAGTGGATGAAAATTGCAGCTCTTGTAAAGTCCGTTCTATCCTGATGGTGGATGGATGATCCTAGGCTGACTCAGCAGATCAAGGCTAGGCCTGCCATTGGCCGCTTGGTGTAAGCTGGCATTGTTCTCCCCTTCTGCTATCTGCATATTGCTGCTTTCAAAATCCCCTTCACGTCGTGCAGCAACCTGTCACACTAAACATTTAAAATAGGATTTCAAACATGCAGTAAGGCGGCTCTGCACGTATGACAGTGCTCGTCTCAAAGCAAATGTTCTACCAAAGCAGTTCCACCCACCACGATTACTACATAGACAGTATGTCACCAATGTTTGATCATATCTTCTCATGGGACAACACTGTAGAAATGACACTTTGCTCCACTGTAAAGTAGTCAGTGTACATTTACTGTCCCCTCAAAATAACTTCATACACAGCCATTAATGTCTGAACCGCTGGCAACAAAAGTGAGCACACCACGAAGTGAAAATGTCCAGATTGGGCCCAATTAGCCATTTTCCCTCCCCGGTGTCATGTGACTCGTTACAAGAGGGAGCAGGTGTGTTACATTTGGTGTTATCACTCTCACACGCTCTCATACTGGTTTAACCTCGTGGTAAAGAACTCTCTGGGGATCTGACCAACAGAATTGTTGCTCTACATAAAGATGGCCGAGGCTATAAGAAGATCACCAACACCCTGAAACTGAGCTGCAGCACGGTGGCCGAGACCATACAGCGGTTTAACAGGACAGGTTCCACTCAGAACAGGCCTCACCAAAGAATTCAAGTGCTCGATTTTTTTGATCATGAGGTGCAGGCAGACTTCTGTCTTACAGAACGAGCTGCCTAAGCAAGACCACCTAAACCCAGAAACAACGATGCAAAGTGCGTTTGGCTCATTGTCACAGTAACACGATGGTGCAGCGCACGGGTATCAGGTTCAGGGCAGAACAGCATTTTCTTTGATATCGGAGAGTTTGATGACAGCAGCACTGCAGATGAAGATGAACCTGATGAGCTGGAAGTCATTTCTGCACCATTCATCAGTCTAATCTTATAAAGCAGAACTGGAGCACTTTGGTCAAAGTACATGCAGTTAGTGTCCCAAGAGAAGCTGGAACTGATTTCCCACATATCCCTCAGCTGCATCAACCTTTAAATGCACGAGTACAAATTTGCAGCTTGTGGAGCTAAACTTTTCTGGAAAACACTGGCTTCAGGTGCTACGGCTGCAGAAAAGGAAAGCGGGACCATGACTTCCAAAAGACGATAGATGAAAAAATGAGATTGACTTACAGTAAAAAAAGAACTCCAGGACAAACGCTGGAGATGTCGACTAAGTCCAGCAAGGCTCAACCGCAAATCAGTTGCACGTTTAGTAAAAACATGTGACTGTGATTATTTTGCATTACTTTTTACAACAGCTGCATGCAAGTAGGGGCTGCAAGGTGGCTCGGCAGTTAGCACTGTTGCCTCGCAGCTAGAAGGTCGCCGGTTGGCGTCCCGGTGAGGACACCCGGGATCTTCCTGCGTGGAGTCTCCATGTTCTCCCCGTGCAGCGTGGGTTCTCTCCGGGTTCTCCGGCTTCCTCCCACAGTCCAGAAACATGCTGAGGTTAATTGGTGATTGTAAATTGTCCGTAGGTGTGAATGTGAGTGTGCTTGGTTGTCTGTCTCTAAGTGTAGCCCTGTGATAGGCTGGTTACCTGTCCAGGTGAACCTGCCTTCACCCTGAGTCAGCTGGGATAGACTCCAGCCCCCCATGACCCTGGTGAGGATTAAGGTGTAGAGATGATGGATGGATGGATGCAAGTAGAAACCTGAAACGTATCAGTCAGCACTGACAATTTAGGAAAAAAAACCCACAACAGTCTTTAGATAATATGGTACTGGTATTTTTTGTGTTTGTTTGAAAATTGGAAAATGTCACAAGCAGCATGGTTTTGTGCTGGTATATAGTATATAACAGGCATTTAAAGTTTTAATCCAGCGTTAACTGAAATTGGTCATAACCGAGTACCGAGATGTTTCTTGACATCTGTGATGCAAGAAACACAGACTGTTTATTCTGACTCGTGTGTTTGTTATTTTCCAAATATGAAATTATACACGATCTGTAAGTTTTGTTCTAAATTAATATATTTTTTGTAGTTAGATTAATAAATTCTTCTCAGCTTTCAGTGCTGGGGGGAAGAAATTAAAAACAACACCTCATAGTAGCCACTAGAGGTCAGAAGTCAGCTGTTTTTTCTCTGACTTGTAAAAGTTTGCTCACTGTATTTGTGTAATGTGCAGGTTCTGATAGATCAACATTAGGTGTATTTTGTGTGTCTCCTGCCCTCGCCCTAAGTCTGCTGGGATAGGCTCCGCCCCCCATGACCCTCGTGAGGATTAAGGTGTAGAGATGATGGATGGATAGATTTTGTTTGGTGTTTTCTGCTGTGATTCAACAAGAAAAATAAAATAAGTCCAGTAATGAGCAATGAAACTGTAAAAAAATCTGTACATGAAAACAATTAAACCATCCAAGTATTTTGGTAAATTAAGTACTTGTATTTAATGCGTGTGGTTAGCTTGCTCACAGTGTTCCTCCTCCCTGCCCTTCAGCTGGTACGACTCGGGAGCACCTGGGCCTGGCCATGGCGCTGAAAGTTCCCATCTTTATCGTGGTCAGTAAAGTGGATCTGTGCTTCCGCGGCACTGTGGAGCGAACGGTCCGACAGCTGGAGCGGGTCCTGAAGCAACCGGGCTGCAACAAGGTGCCCATGGTGGTGTCGAACCCTGACGATGCCGTGACAGCAGCACAGCAGTTTACTCAGTCCGCATGGTGAGTAATACTGCCGCTGATGCTTCTAATACTCCCACTAATACTCTTAGTTACAGATGCTGCTCACTCAGTCTACACGATAAATAAAGATATTAGCAGTGCTACCTCCAATGCAAATGCTACTGCAGCAGTTTACTCAGTCTGCAAGTGCTACTGGTAATGTAGATAGAACTTTTTGTGGATTTCCAGGAGCAGGACCACACCTCAACCTCTCCCCTTCCTGTTGTACGTCTATACATCCCACTCTGCAACACATCATTCAGCCACGCTGCCAGTCTGAAAGTTGTAGAAAACTCTGAGATTTATTGTAGTTTCTATTTTATTTGCAGCATCACGCCAATCTTCACCCTGTCCAGTGTGTCTGGAGAGAGTTTGGACCTCCTGAAGGTTTTCCTCAATATCCTCCCTCCACTGAGCAACAGCAAAGAGCAGGAGGAGCTGATGCAGCAGCTCACTGAATTCCAGGTAAACACACACACACATAGAGGCATGTTTCCGTCTTTTCGGAGGACATTACATCAGCTTACATTCATCTTTTGAAGACTTAGCCCAACACGAACCTGACTAGATGTTATAGGGGAGATATTTGCTGCTTCCTGAATCTTGAATAGTGATCTATGGGAGAATATGACACATGTTCCACCTCTTCCCCTAAAAAGCACATTTCTTTGAAACCCCGAGCCAGTCGTGTTGTTGAGGTAATGAGCGCACGATTTCCTATTACTGCAACAATTTGATTGGAGTTTTTAATGACCTGTTGAGCATCTGAACTGCAACTATGGCTTCGTCCTCATTCATGTACGCAGTGGCCTCGTCTTTTTGGCCTGAAACAATTGCCCAGGGGCATTACCAAGATGACTGCTGAGTGCTTTTTTATGTGTGATTTTATGAGTGCAAGTTGTCATGTTGTTCTGTTCTTGATGGTTTGAGCTTCTCTAGTAATGTTCTAGTTTTCTACATAGCATAAAAATTCAGAAACAGAAAGACAAAAACAACAGTGACAGAAAAAAACATGTTTGTTGTTAGACTGAAGTGCCGTGCAGTAAATGTACAGAAGAAAATCCTCTGTGATCTTCCCTTGTGTCCGTTTGCAGGTGGATGAGATCTACTCGGTTCCTGACGTTGGGACTGTGGTGGGAGGAACTCTCTACAGGTGAGAAAACATCCTGTGCTCCTGAAAGTCTCGATCAAAGGAGACGACAAAGTTTGTTAGCAGGACACATCGTATATTCAAATCACTGTCTGTAGACATCATATTAAACCAAATTCTTCAAATGTAGTCAGTAATTTACGATCTGGATGAATGTTGAAATGGAGAATGTGCACAAAGCAAAGTTAAGTTCTCACATTTTAGTCTTTGTTAATAGAAACTGAACAAGGCGCAACTATTTTGAGAAAAAGGCTTAATATGACGAGGAAGTTTCCTTTTTCTAAGAAATGTGTACTCGAATACATTTATCTAATAACTTTATGAACTCAATACTCAGTCGTGTCATTTTGCTGCTGCACAGCAGAACTACATCTATCATCTGTTGTGCATTTCTAGCTGTTATGAAGTCAGAGTTTCTTTTTGCTGTTTCAGCTGCAGGAACTTTCTTTGTTTTCACCCCCAGAAGCTCCTCTCTCTCAAGGCTACTACTTTCTGCCAGTACACTCACTTCTGTGCTGAAGCTTGTCGTGCTGAACTTTGTTGAATTTGCATAAAGGTTGTCAGTGACGTCAGAAAACAGTCATTTTTCTAAAGCTTCAGCTGACTAATTTTACTAGTCGTCAGGGGCTTTAAACTTGGTGGAACCACTGACAACAAAGGGCTGAAGGAGCCTTTAGTTCATCGGAAAGTTCCCCTACAGTATTTTCTGTTTTTTTGATGGAAACGTGGCTTAAGTCATATATGAGTTAACAGATTATGTCTCCTAACTTAACTCATGATGTGTCTCTTGAAGGTCACAGAGAAAATCTGTGTGACTGGGTCTTAAGACGTCAGTGACGGCTGTTTAGCTGACTTTGGGTTTTTAACCATAGAGCTGGCACCTGTCGGGTCCTTGTTTGGGTACAGACCCATCCTCTGTCCTCATCTGAACTACAGCGTATTGCAGCAGCAGCACTGACGGTGTGTGTTTCAGCGGAGTGTGTAGGGAGGGCGAGCGGCTGGTGGTGGGTCCGACCGACGAGGGCCGCTTCCTGCGTCTGAAGGTGGGCAGCATCCAGAGGAACCGCTCGGCCTGCAGGGTGCTGAGGGCGGGACAGGCGGCCACGCTGGCTCTAGGAAACTTTGACCGCTCACTGCTGCGCAAGGTCAGAGGTCACCCAAAGACATGCGAGCATGTAGGAGGTGATTCATGGAGCTGCCCCTGGACGGATTAATGGATAGGTTCACATTTTGTCAAGTCTGTCGTAAAACCACGTGCACCATAGCTGTTAGAACACACTCTAGTTTAGTTAGGTCAGGCTTAACTTGGACTTTGATAACTCAAAAAGTTATCCTAAATATCTTATAAATATTCCATGATTTTAATTCAACACAAAGAGAAACCGTGGAGCTAAATATTTTGAAAACTGTCCCTTTAATTTGATTCCAGCTGCAGCGTCCCTCTGCTCCTCCAGGACATCAGTGGTTTTAGGAAACTTAGCAACCAGGGACAGAAGGGATAACTGCTGCAGCCAAGACTTGTTATAGTGGACATGCATGCATTGTTTTAAACAACGACTTGACAAAATGTGACTTCAACTTTTAACCTGCGAGGTGCAATTATTTATTCATTATCAACCAAGAACTTCTGCATGAATTATAATCCTCTACATCTAGAAAGCAACTGCAAGGATGTTGATGAATGACTGTGTTTAATCAGTATTTGTAGTCAAAACAGAATTACAATCATTTCTAGTTGTACAATTCATTAATAAATATGGCTTAGACCCACGTGTTGACCTGAGGGCTTCAGGGGTCCTACATGGGAACGGTGTTAGACCTCAGGGGGGATTTTCCTTAGAAGTCAGTCATTTAATGTTATTGTGCACAGAACGTTAAAAAAATCTAATTAAATGCAGGACAACCATCACTGTGTTGATGACGGTGACATGTGATTGGTTGCTGTAGGGCATGGTGATGGTCAGTCCCAAGATGAATCCAACCATCTGTTGTCAGTTTGAAGCCGCCATCGTCCTGCTCTTCCACGCCAAGACTTTCCGCCGGGGCTCACAAGTCACCGTACACGTCGGCAACGTCCGGCAAACAGCCACCGTGGAGTGCCTTCACGGAAAGGTCAGTTTACAGACCACACAACATGCACTGCCTCTCCTTCCTGTGTGAACCACTCTGTGTAACTGTGCCTCTGCTGCTGCTGCTGCAGGAGGAGCTGCGTACCGGCGAGAGGGCCGTCGTTCGCTTCCGCTTCATCAAACACCCCGAGTACCTGCGGCTGGGCGCCAAGCTGCTCTTCAGGGAGGGCGTCACCAAAGGCATCGGCCACGTCACACGCCTGCTGCCACCCTCCCAGAACTACGACCAGAACCAGATCCACGACCAGAACCTGCAGGAGCATTAAAGGCCCCTCCTTCATGCTCCGTCACAGGACTGACAGATGTGGGGCTCCGTGAGAACTTTGACCGCTCTGAGGCCATCGATGCTCCTCTGATCGGGTTTACCCGCGCACCACATGTTGGCGTGTTAATCTGCCTGTCCTGGATCTATATTTCTATCCTTATTCACTCCTGCTGCGATGGTAGAAAACCCATCATCATCATCATCTTCCTTCCAGGAGATGTTCGTGTCTTGACTTAAAGCTGGATGACCTCAGTGGACAGTTAATCTGATGTTGTGCCACAGATTGATTGAAAAGGCCCCTTGTCACGAGAAGACAGCAGGATTATTTGGGGGGGATTTGAGGAATGGTATTAAAGCAGCAGTTGTTACTGGTCTTCTGCTAAGGAGAGGAGGTGCTGCCCTGCTTCTCTGCTGCGCAGGATGGATTGACCGCCGTGTTCTCCATCTCCTAAACGCAACACGTCTGCATGCTGGACGAGACGTGAGTTTGATGAGGGAGACAGTTTTTATTTTATTGGTCGGAGGTGAAATTCTTTCCTGGGGGACATCTCTGACCATCGAGGTAGTTTTTCATGCTTCACCCCATTAACTTCCAACCGAGAATCTTTTGTTTTTAGCGTTTTTTAATCACTGCTGAGCATTTCTACGGAGCACCAGAGGTGTAGGGAGTCATTTTCTGATTACTTGTGTGGCCTAATCAGGAACATGTGCTCTCAAGTTAGCAGCAAACTAAAGCAGGAACCAAAGTTACAGGTTGTTGTTGTTACTCTGATCAGTTATGGAGCACCACTAGTATTAACCTACAGGGCCTACAGGTTTCATTCTTTTGGGGATCCATTTATCTATTCCACATCAACAGTTTAAATAGTTTTGATTGTACCAGCACTTAAAACGATGCATAATCAAGGGTGAAGCTGCTTTGAGTGACAGGTGGACGCCCTCAGAGAGCCGTCTGTGACCCAGAAATATCTGCATGGCCGCCGCATCTCCACTCACCCTCCACCTTTTTGTTAACTTTTGGATTAAGAGCAATCAGGCCCTGCTGAGATGGTGACAGCCAGAGCCACCACACCGAGCTTCAGAACTGCTGTTTGGAAACCCGTGGATGACAAAGGTTTCATCCATCTTTATGCACAGTCAGTGATGAGGATGTAGTTAGACATCGCCTGCGTTCCACATTGTATAGATTTTATTTACTCCACTCACTTCAGCTGCCCTTTCAAAGTATGTACAGCTGAGACATACTGCTTCATCATAACATTGTGCCTTAAGCTTTGACCACTTTCTTCATATATCTGTTGCAGATTGTTATGTCAAAGAACTGTTTGTGCGCTCTGTTGCCCCTTTTCCACCGAGCTGGTTCCAGCGCTAGTTCTGTGCTAGTGCCTGACTTAGCACCAGTACCTTGTGTTTCCACCACCTGGTTCACCTGGAACCACCAGGTTCTCAAAACTGGTGCTTAGCAAGAACCAAGTCTTTGCTGGGCCAGAGCTAAAAACTGAGTACGTCAGGGGCTGGGGGCGGGGCTATCGTGACCAACCAGACCAATGGAAACACAGAATGGGAAACACAAGAGGTGATTTGTGTCGTGTATCACCAGGATGTTTATTCCACTCAAAGAAAAGACCGTACAAGAAAAAAATCCCTCGGTTTTATCTTGGACAAATCTGACATTAGAACACCTTAGCTTACTTATTTTAAAGTCACTTTTGATCACACACCGGTCTGAACACCACGACCACCAACAGCAGCTACCACAGCCTGCTATGTGGGGCATTCAGGGAACATTGGTAAATTGTAGAGTCTATCGATAAGAAAATGTTCAGCAGGTCATGTGTTTTACCTGTGACAAGGTGGGAAGTGAATGAGAAAGTTGGTCACACCGGTGATAAAGTCAGTCTGGAGTCCTGTGTGGACTCTGTGTGGTGCCAGCGTTGTTCGTAAACGTATACAGTGACGTATGGCTCTGACTTTGCTCCTTGTCGATGGAAAAGCAACCGGTTCTTAGACCGGAACCAACTAAGCACTGGAACTAGCACCAGCACAGAACTAGCACCTGGTGCTTCTTGGTGGAAAAGGAGTATTTGTGGTTCAACCTTGTTCCACAAGGGAGACGTATGTGACGTATCCTCCGCTGTGGAGAGGATTGTGGGTCAGAATGGCCAGAGAAGCTGGTTTGCATACTTCAAAGTTTGACCAGATTTTGAAGGACGTCCTGGTATTTTTGGCATCCTACATTGAACATACTGTATGTGTTGGTTCAACCTAAATCCTAAATGTCACTAATTTGTGTGCACAACTTAGAAAATAGCTCCTGTCACCTACCAGGCTCCACATAAAACGATTCAGACTGATTTAATTTTTATACCACAATCCGAAACAAAACAAAACATCAGCTCATTGTATTTCAATGCTCTTGTTTTTTTTGTACTTTATTTAAATCATTAGATCCCTTCTCTCTGGATCAGCACATACACTAACAAGCTGGTAGTTTCCTCCTTCTCTCCAGTGTTTTTATTTGCAGTCCAGCTACCAGGTGTACAGATGATAATGTGTAAAAGTGTTTTGGGGGAATGAAAAGTTTCTTCATCTCCTAAGAATGTTTTTTGGACGAGAAGCAGCAGTTTTCTACTCCTTACGTTCAGTTCGTTGATGTTTGTTGAACTGTTGAAGCCTGCACATTTGATATCTGTATTTACAAATGACTGACACTAAAATATTTGCATCTTGGTTTCCAGTTTGTTCCGATTATCCGTTGATGTTTAGCATTGATCTGAAAAGTTTGAAGGTTTGATGTATCAGGCAGCTTTTTGCAGTGAAACATAACCTGCATGCTCTTTAACTGGCAAAAGAAAACCCTCAAATTATCTCATTTAAATTATAACCCATGTTTCTGGTGAAGTGTTGATGCAGTTTTTAACTTTATTTTCCTGAGGTTCTGTGCAATTGTAAAGCTAAATATTGAATGTACTTTCCATGATCCTGTGTAGCATTTGAAAGTGCTTACTGTTCAAATGGCGTTACTGTTGACTTTGCACTTTGTATTCCGATTGTGCATGTGTGTCGGAGAGCTGCGACCGCTGATTCTGCAGCACGACGATGACATGGACACTGTGCCCCCAGAGGTCCAAGTGTGAGAAGACCTCACACCGATGCTACCGCTGAACATTTGAACTTTGAGAGTGAATTTATCAGTTTGTTTTTCCTGACCGTCCCTCCAGCTAATAAATAAACAACAGTGAAAAATGAAACGTCTGAAATATCGTGCATTTGTCAATGAGGCTTAAAAAAACAAAACAAAACTGTGAATTATTTCTAATTTTGAAGTGCTCTCCATCTTCTCCAGAGGCAAAAGAATGGAAGACGGATTTCACTTTCATCTCTGTGCAGGTCCAAAACAGTGCTGCCCGTGTCCTCACCAGAACTAGGAGACCACATCTCCCCAGTCCTCCACTCCCTTCACTGGTTGCCAATACCCCAGCAGATTACTTTCAAGGCTCTCCTACATGTGTACAACACCATTAACCACTGTGGCCCGATCTGCCTTCAGGACCTCCTTACCCCTCAGTCTTCATTTCAGTCCCTCAGGACTAGCAGCCAGAACTCCCTTGCTAGTCCTCGCATGAAGCTCACAAGCATGGGGGACCACGCCTGTGGAATCAGCTCCCAGACTCCATTAGGGCCTCTGACTCCCTTGCTGCCTTCAAAGCCTAATCCTAACCCTAAAGACTATTTTAAATTTTCAGATTTTCCTTTTATTAGGGTCTGAGCACCCAAAAGGGTGTGAAGACCCTATTGGAACTGCTCGGATTATTATTGTTATTCGTGCCAAAGACACGCGTTTTTGAGGCCCTAAACATACTCGAAAACTCACCAAAATTGCCATGTACATCAGACCCGGTGAAAAATTTTATAATTTGGAAGAACAACACACACCTCAAT